CATCAGCTTCCCTGGGACTGAAGTCAAACTGCCAGGCTTGTGATTTCCCAGATCATCCTTCCGCCCCTTCTCACAGACGGGTGTTATATTTGCTGACTTCCGGGCAGCTGGGACCTCCCCAGTCAGCCAGGACTGCTGAGAAATGACGCACAGTGGCTCCGGGAGGACCCCCCCCAGCCCCCCTCAGAATCTACGGTCCATCAATCCCATCCGACCCCAGAGATTTGTGCACATCAGTGTGGAGCAGCGGGTCACTGACCATCTCCTCCTGGATTGTGTGGGGGACACCTTGCTCCTGGTCCCTGTCTCTTGGCTTGAGGGACCGGCTTCCCTCAGTAAAAGTGTTCCTGTTACCAAAGACTGAGGCAAAGAAGGCATTACAGCACCTCAGCCTTACTCTCACCTTTGGTCACCATATTTCCTCCTGGCTCTAGTAGGGGATGGAGGCTCTCCCTGGTCTTGTTAATGTATTTATAGAAACTTTTCTTGCTGTTCTTTACCTCTAAAGCCAGATTAATTTCTAACTGGGCTTTGGACCTTCTAATTATCTCCCTGCATAACCTAACAATATTCTTGTACTTGTTATGAGTGCTCTGCCCCCTCTTCCAGAGGCCACAAACTCTCCTTTTTTCCCCTCCTCGATTTTCAGCCAAATCTCCCTATTCAGCCAGGTAAAGATTTTGCTGATGTGGGTATCTTACTGATAGTCAGGCTAATCTGTAGCAACTGGCAAATTTTCTGAAAGACAAGAGAAGAGATGCTGGTGTTCTGGGAGGCAGCAAGACAATCTCTTAAGCTTTTTGAAAACTCATATTCAAAGCCCTTCTGCAACAACTACCCCGAGGCTGTTGGCAGCACCCCAGCAGCGGGTTAGCAGGGAAAGGGCAGAGCACTGCACTAAAGAGCCAGCTCTTAATTCTGGATCTTGCACTAGAATCACAGAGAAATTCACTACTTTTTTTAAACAGATGAGTTACAGTTCTTGTTCTCAGAAGTATAAGGGGGAAAACAAAAGCCACTCAGGTTATTAAGAACTTCAATAACTTTCTAAGGTTATCTTAAGAACTGCAAGGGAGTTGGAACTAAAGGATCTTTAATGTTCAATCCAAACCGTTCTGTGATTCTACGATAACTCACAGGATAGCATTAAAACACTGCAGTGTTTTTAGAGCTTCCTGGGGTGATCACCCTCAAACATACCTGCACCATGATGTTGTCACTAGAAGCTGCTTCTTGAGCTTCGTTGATCCACCGTTTGACTACGTCGTAACTGATCTTCATCATATGCTGGAAAAAGCCACAAATTGAGACTACAGACAAACTAGGATGAGAAGCACAGCGAAGTACCACGAGCCTTGTTTTCAGCTTTGAAGTTTAAAGACTTTGAGGCAATCCGGGGCTTTGCTGCACGCTAAGGGTAACTTGTTTCAAGAAAGAAACAAGTAACTGGGAGAGTTCTTATGTTCAAACAGGACAATTCACGTGCCTACAGGCAGCCCAGCAGGAAGGTTTCAGTTGTGATGATTAACACGGCCTTGTTTGCACCCTCAGGGTCCCAACACAGGCTCTCCTCCACCTCATCAGCTGGGCCTCTGACCTCCTGCTTTGCCTTCTTGATTTACCTTATCCTACACACCTCTAAACCACTATTTTTCTTATATTTCAGTCTCAGACTACCATGCTCTCCCTTGTGTTTTCCTCTTTAATAAAAATATTGACTTAATGAGATCTTTTCCAACCTTTTCTCCTAAACAAAGGAGAAAAGAACAGTGAACTTCCTCTTGCTCCCCTACTACATATCAGCAACAATAATCTCGAATTCCAGTCTTATTAGGGCAGTAATTTCATGGATTTGTTTATCTGCAGAGCACAAAGCAAACGGCTACTACTGCCCGTTACAGAACTTGCATGCTGCTCTGCAGTGATAATGTTAGTTCTTCTACAACACAGAACAGGTTGTTTTTACTCACTCTAACCAAACTGATAAGCACGTTCACAGTCACCAGTGCGCCAAAACAGACAAGATCCCTCCCCAGAGAAATGCCTGTGCTACACTAATTGCGTTAAGAGATGGAAGCACTTTGCACTGCAAGTTATTACAACTGATGTACTTCATGGCACGATAATGTTAAGGAAGGAGTCTGAGAAGACAAAGTCTGCTTGAAATGTAGGAAACTCCATTGCTACTATTTTTCATTTGTTTTCCGGTGAGGAGATGAAGAAAAGTCACTTCAAAGAAAAAGATGATGAAGAAAGAACAAAACAAAGGCCATGCAGAGCTACAAATGGCAGCAGAATAGTTTTCCCAGCCACACCTCAATGCATAGATTTACAATTACCTACTGCTTTACTTACTAAGGAGGACACCAGTGCAGAACTGGACACGCTGGGGACTTTATCCACAATGGCTTGCTTCATGTATCTCTCAATGGCTTGTAACATCGTACCCTGTGCAAGAGGAAAAGCGTCAATACTCCGGGAGCAGAGCATAAAAGCAGCGTAAGGCAAAAATATACACACAGTATGTTCAAAAGACCCTCAGGAAAAATCCTGAGCTAATTCTGAAAATCCATAGGAAGACAAGCAAGGGAGGCATGAGTACGGGCTGCCCAGTCCTAAAGGTTCACTGACATGATGAAAATCTACAGCAAAGCAACCTCAGATCAGAAATCAGAACTCCAAAGCTCCTGCCTTCTGACTCCATGAGCTACAGCTCCAGACAATTCTCCCACCTGCAGAGGGTTTCAGAGTAGTCCTCCCTACATCAGAGAAAACTCTGCAAGAGAGCGGCTTTTCTACCTTAAATACACTCATCAGCTCTGTCACAACACTGACGTGATTTCTACTTACATCAGTGATCCTGCAGAGCGCTCTGATGGCCGGGCCTCGGTACACGTCTTCCTTCCCAGTCATGTCTTTGGTCAAACTAAAATAATCCAAGACACCTTGTTAATACTTCCCCAATATCTCGACGTGTTGGTCTGTGCGTGACATTCACCTCATCTCCTTTTAGCTGTTCTTCCAGCTCTTACCACGTAAATGCTAAGGTCTACTGTTGGCTAGAAACAATAACTAGCTATTTGAAAATTATTACCGTCAGATTCTGTGGAAATCGAGAACATTACAAAATGCACAGTCCCTAATATTGCTTTGCCACAGGCCTGGATTATTTAGCTCACCCACTTTCCTCAGTGTTTTTGATCTTTCTACCACACGAAGTTTTGGGTTAGGTAACAGTAAAGTTTAGTTTGCCGAACAGCTTTTTAAAAAAGTGTAAAATAAACCCAACACTTAGCAAAAATTGAATTTGTGGCGTGTGCTCTTTCAACAACTATAATGTCTACTGTTTAGTCAAAAATATTTGACAGTTCAGTTGGTGGACCGAACCGAGCCTCTGCTTTTCCCTAACTGCTCCGACAGCAAAGTGGCACAGAAGTCAGAGCCAAAGTTTTCAAAAAACCCATCGATTACCAATAATTGAAAAAACCCCAACCAAGCAAAGTAACAACCAATTGATAAACTGCAGGAAAGTCTCTTGCATTTTTAGAAAACACAGCAGGAAGAAAGCAACATTTCATATGGTGACACACACTCTGTATCATGGAATAATTGCTTTTCCCCTGCTGTATCCTTTATAAACTTAATTATAGAAAACCACAGCAGCCAAAGCAAACCTATTCAGATGCAGCTATTTGTTGCAGAGCTCTCATAACATGTTTTCTGTAGGTTCTACTACCTGCTTGTGACAATGATGACGTCCTCAGAAATATTGGCCATCTCTTTGATAGTAAGGTAACACATTCTTCTAAGGGTTTGCTGTGGAAACGTATTGCAGAAAGCCATTAAATTCAACGGCAATTACGGATAAACACTTCCTAAAAGTTCGACGTTTCACTTTAAAGTGAAATGAACTGTTAAACAAAACACCCTCTTACTTCTATACAAAGCACAGAGGTAAAACCAGGTTTGCTAACTGGGTTACAGCCTTACTGACTGCTATCAAACAAACCACGAGAAGAGATATAGATCTTGTAAAATGGTACGACTAAAAATCATTTTTAAAAAATATAAAATCAAAATCCACAAGAAGTGATATGTCACATCTGTATGCAGGAGCCTCACAAATATCAATTAAAAGCTTTAAAACCAACTTTTCCCCTGATCTATTTGTTGTTGTAAAAGAAAAATAGAAATATACAAAAAGCACTGGCGCTTTAGTTCTTTCAAAGCAAATTGCACATTTACGATTAAAAAACTCCCTCCTTTTTAAAACATGGATAGGAGAAAGGCCTCTAACACTCTGCTTCTCCAAAATTTTCATTCCATCTCCAGCAACCTTCCTCAGCCAAGTCTCTAAAACCCTGAAGTGCCAGTTCTTTAACAAAAATTTGAGACCCATCACATGAAGCAGGCTTCACCAAGTTGTTAACACTCTCTACAAAAGAAGAGAAGGACTCAGCACTGGGCAAAGTCCAAAGTTTAATCCAGCATTTTTAGGATGTTCTCATCCCTTGACTTCAAGCTGATTCATGAATAAAGCAAGTTGCTTTAGGGAACAGCAGTATTTGATACAGGCAACTTCTAAATTCGATTTTGAGTTAAGCAGATGGGTATTATTTGCAAGTGTAAGAAATAGTCATAAAATTATACTGATTTGTATACTATTTCTGTCATTATTCACATTCTTTGCAAGAGTAACTCAATTCAGAAAAAAAAACCAAACACACCCACAAAAACTACCACAAAACCAAACTGCAGAAGTAACCACACGTTATTATTCAGTCATTTGTTTCCAAACAATGAATTGCTTCAGCGAGTGCTTTGCGTGAATACTTGCCTCACCCTCCTCCCACATCCCAGTATTCAGCTGTTTTGTAACTACTGCAAATCCAGACAAAAACCTGTGAGGCAGCAAGTGCTGAACACCAGGTACTTACATCATTAGACTGAAATAATCTGGTCATTGCAAAAAAAGCTTCTGTGGCTTCAGTGGTTCCAAAGTGTTCACCCTGAAAACAGCATAAAAGCAAGTGAGAAAAAAACCCACATTATTATCTACCTGTCTCCACTTTCCAGTCTCCAATTTGAGTACCCATTCATGCATGAAGCATCATTTCTTTGAATGTTTTTTCTTTCATGAGGAGCAGCCCCTCCCTCACCCGCTGTTTCCTGGGGGAGCACACGGCAAGCTTACCACTGTTACCTACTTGGGTTCAACATAAACGCCACCCACAGCGGTAGAGTGATGGAATAGTTGGACAAGTTGCTTGTGTTCCCTCTTTTGACCTTATTGTGGCAGCAGCTGGTTTCGTGTCATGCTTGTTAACTAGAAGGATCTATGTGGATACCTAAAGAAAACTTCCTGCCTTCTCATGCTTCCAATTTGTTCCCCAGCAAAAAGACACTTTCTGCTTCATCACTTCCTGACTGATGTTCTTACCTCAGTTATTCCCGCTTTAGCTGGGCAAGCACAAGTGGCTTGTTAATCACCAAGTGCTGTGGTGACCACAGACCAATGAGCAACTCTCAGAATCACCTCGACTGGAAAAGACCTTTAAGATCGAGTCCAATCATTAACCTAACACTGACAAGTCCTTGACTACATCCCTAAGCACTGTCTTAAAACACCTCCAGGCATATGGACTCCACCACTGCCCTGGGCAACCTGTTCAATGCTTGAGAACCCTTGCAGTAAAGAAATTTTCCTAATACCCAACCTAAACCTCACCTGGAGCATCTTAAGGCCGTTTCCTCTCATTCTATTGCTTGTTCCATGGGAGAAGAGACTGATTCCACCTCACTACAACCTCCTTTCAAGCAGTCGTAGAGAGCAAGGTCTTCTCTCTTCTCCAGCTGAACAGCTCCAGGTCCCTCAGCTGCTCCTCATCACACTTGCTCTCCAGACCCTTCCCTAGCTTCACTGCCCTTCTCTGGACATGCTCCAGCACCTCAAAGTCTTTCTTGTCATAAGGGGCCCAAAACTCAACACAGTATTCAGAATCTCTTTGGTTGGAAGAGACCTTTGAGATCATTGAGTCCAAACATTAACCCAGCACCGCCAGGTCACCACCAACCCATATCCCTAAGCACTGGGTCAACACACTGTTTAAACACCTCCAGAGACTGTGATATTACAGGTCTTACCACTGGCCTGGGCAGCTTGTTCCAGTGCCCAACAACCCTTTCAGTGAAGAATTTCTTCCTAATAACCAGCCTAAACCTCCCCTGGCACAACTTGCAGCCATTTCCTCCAGTCCTACCACTTGTTACTAGGGAGAAAAGGCTGACCCCTCCTCCCTCCAACCCCCTTTCAGGTAGTTGTAGACAGTGATCAGGCCTCAAGACGTGGCCTCACCAAAGCCAAGTACGGGGGCAGGATCCCCTCCCTGCTCCTGCTGACAGCACCATTCCTGAGCCAGGCCAGGACGCCGGACCTGGGCACACTTTTGGCTCATGTTCAGCTGGTGTCCATCAACACCCCCAGGTCCCTCTCTGCCTGGCAGCTCTCCAGCCGCTCCTCCCCAAGCCTGTAGCGCTGCCGGGGGTTGTTGTGGCTGAAGAGCAGAATCCACGCTCTCAGCTGGCCCACAGGAAAAAAAAAAAAGTCTTAAAAGCTTCAGTGACGCACACCTCACTCAGTGGCAAAGTCAGAGAGGAGGACGTAGAACTAACAGAATAAACACTCCATTTCTGATCTCCATAAAAGCTGCCTCCTACATCTGACAGGAAGAGGTATAAAACTTCTTCCACAATGAAAGTTACCAGAAATCAGCCTCAGGAATATTCATTCTGCCAGTTACCTGGTTCAGCAAGTAAAGGATCTTGGTAAGGATGTGCAGGCATCTTCGTGGGTTTATAGGGGTCTCATTAAAGATACGTGCCTAAAAACGGAGCAAAAATACCGTGACCCAGTGTAACACAAGAATAATTTCTCTTTCACCACAAGAATCATAGAAATATCAGGGTTGGAAGGGACCTTAAAGGTCATCTCGTTCCAACCCCCCCCGCCATGGGCAGGGACATCTCCCACTAGATCAGGCTGCCCAGAGCCCCATCCAGCCTGGCCTTAAAAACTTTCAGGGATGGGACTTCCACCAACTCTCTGGGCAACCTGTGCCAGTGTCAAGTGAAGCAACCAAGTAGTTTATAAATTTTTCATTCTAAAAACATGTCCCAGCGAGCACACTCCTGCTATTCAGCTCATGCACGTTTAGTTGTCTGGAAGGGCAGAGGTCTGAACAAAGGACAGTGATTCGGTTTGCCATCTGACACTAGTGAAAAACTTTAAAATAAAATCATAACAACTCAACTCCCTCTGTAGCACCTGTAGTCTGAACACTACTTCATACGAGTCTGTACGCACACAAAATTGAAATCATTAAATGCCTACTTACAGCTCTTTGCACTCGCCAAAATTCCCCATTATTTAAGTACACATTCACCCCACCACTCGCAACCATTCTTGGAGCACATATTAAAAACAAAAAAAAAAGCAGGAAATCCCATTACACAGAGCACTGAAGGAGGGCAGACAACAGGCAGGTCACCTCTTCAGAAAGAGCACACTGTCATCCCACACATCCACACGGAAGGCAGAAGCCACATGTAATCTAATTATCATCCATAAATCCATCCCAGAGTAACTTCATGTGCACTTAACTTACACAGCCTGTGATTTTAAATTAACTACGTGAATTTAGCTATTCACACAGCCTGAGAGTCACATCGTAAAACCTCCCCATGTTGCTAACACTTACTGATCAAAATAACTTGCTCAGAATTATACTATGATTGTTCCTACCTCCTGAAGCACAGCACTCTTCTCCAAATGCTGGAAAGGATTAGAGCCGCTACCTGAGGAACAAAAGAGACCTCTCAGTTAAGGAAATGCCTTCTTCACAAGAAACGACAGAACTGAGCATGAAGGGACAGCCCCTAAACCTTACAAAAACTCTTCAATGCTACAGGGACATTCCTCTCGAAATAACTGATGTTCTCCATCAGCAGGTTTGAATCCACTTTCTTATGTTGTATATTCAGAGAAATAGAAAAGAAAAAAGGGGGTGCAATTTCAACATAGCTGGAAGGCAAGTAAGAATGGTGTTTACTAGTAAATACTCCCTTTACATGGAACTATTAATTTTTATTTTTTTTCCCCTAGTCCCCTTGCTTTTATTCCTTCAGGCACTGAACACATCAGGACAGAGCTGCTGATCAGGACGTGAAATAGGAATATATCGATCAATGCACCACTGGAATGGGTTGCTCGGCACACTCCAAAGCCCGTCTGGCTGCTGCACAGCACAAAATCAGCAACACTAGACTGTCTCCATACTGTAACTTCTCAGCCTTTTTACAGCCCAGATCCAGCCGTTGAGAGTAATTAATTACTTGGTGATGACACTTCTCTGTCAGCAGCACACAGGTGAAACCACATTCACAGCGAAAACACTTCTCAAGCCACCACTGCAGACACATAAATCCCTTCAAACCCTCACTACTGCTTCCAACTCCTTCCCTCCAGCAATTTTTCTTTTTTCACTTCTCACACCCCAAGTAGAAGGAAACTGAGAATGAAACGAAACTCAACCCAGTCTTGTGGCTCACGAGATCTCTGCACAACAGGAATAGAAAATTCAAGGTGGCATCAGTCATGACAGGCAGCCTGAACTTAATTTCCAGATAATTTTGTGCAGCGAAAATGTGCAGGTGATGCTTTCATTCACCACAGTGACACCTAAAGAGTTTTTTTTCTTTTTTTCCCCCCAGGTATCTGAACCCAGCCGCTCCTGACACAGCCCAAACCACAAGGTCTGCCTGTGGGGACCTGCTGAGGCACAGACCCTGATCAACTCCTGCAACCCCTGCTCCTCCTCACTACAGCAAGGGCAGGGAAAAGACCTTCAGCTGCAACCCGAGGGAATCAGCTCCCTCCCAGCAGGGTCCTGGAGACCCCCGAGGCAGGTCCTGTAGCCCACAGAATCCCAGAATGTTGGGGTTGGAAGG